CCTGGTGAGCAAAGCCTCCCCTCCGCCGAATCCCACTCTCCCAGAGCCATCAGCCCAATCTCCCCAGTCCCAATGGGGTGGACGTCCACTCAGACCTGGCTCTGCGCCTCACGATACAAGGCAGGAGTTGAGCCTACACAATCTCCGCAGCTTCCAAGTCCCACGGGAGCCTTGTTAGCTGTGGAGACCACGGCATGAAGAACTGCTTGCATCTAACAAACCAGGCAATGGCAAGAAGCCTTTCAGGCTCCAGACAGCACCTTCAGCAACCTTGGGTGCCACCAGAAACATAACTGATACCTTCAGCAGGGTACCAGGCTCCCAGTTCCCACCACAAGGTCATCAACAGAGCGGTCCTGACTCTGCCCAAAGCTGGAACAAAAGCAAATTCCACACAAATAGGTTGGGTTTTTTGTGGGTTTTGGTTTTTTTTTTTTTTTTTTTCCTAAGCTGTCACTAAACTCCACGAGCAGGTAGTGCTTCAGCATCCTGCAAGCGTCCTGCAAGCAACGCTTTCAATGCGAAGGAACAAAAGGCTGCGGTGGGGAGGGGAGCGGTGGGAAACCTCACAGGCTCCCAAGCTTCATTTGACACCTGGTGTTTGCAGCATGGGCTGCATTTCATCTTTTCATAAGTAACTCTTAACAGGAAACATTACAAAAAAGGGGGCATTTCAAGGCAGAAAAGTTGGTCTCCAAATGTAATTTTTTTTTTTTTTTTCCCCTCAATCTTTTGTTAGCAACTCTTCCGGGGAGCAAATCCAGCAGAGGCGATACAGTGCAATGTGCACTCCTAAATTAGTTTCCCGGCACTTGGGATGCTTTATTATTCATTTCCTCCAAATATTAGGTAATGCCTTTCGCCCCTTTCAAAGTCTGTACGAGGGGTCTTTGATGCATTGTGGGACTTGAAAGTTGCAGGTCTAAAGCAGCATTTCTTTTAAGTCCTCTCTTTTATCAAGCATATTCTGTTCTGTTCGCTATAATGCACACAATGGCATGAGAGTCTTGACCTGCTTCATGTCTGATGGGTTGAAATCTCAGATGCATAGGATAAAACAGCCATTCCTAGCAATACAGCTTAAACACTTATGGCTCTATTCAGGCAAATATTACCCAGGGGTCTGCCACGCCACTGAAAAGCTGCAGAAATTGGCTCCGTAGATGGCTGACCAATTCAGCAGTGAGAAACGACCCCGCTACATTAACTCCCCTTTTCATTTCACCCTGGGCGAGCCAGGGTCTGGAGGTAACCGCAGCAGGAGGCGAGAGCCGGTTGAAGCCAGATTCGTTTTCTTTATCGAAAGTATTTTTGTGTGTGTGTGTGACCATGAATGTCATTATGCGGATCTGCAAAAGAGGGAAAGTAATGACATTAGGGCACAGGCACAGAAATCAGTGAGGTTTTTGTCTTACGGTTACACGGGAGCGCTGTCACGTCTTCCGGCGAAGTAAAATTTGTAGCCTTTAAGACGCTGCAAACGTCTCAGATAAACCAGGTCTCTGCCTCTGCTGAAGGTCTGTGGGCTTTGGTGGGTCACTTTACACCATCCAGCGTCGGTCTCCATGCCTTAACCAGAATTAATAGCTCTTGTCCCATAATAATTCACCTTTTTTTTTTCTGTTTACGCTGCAAGCTTGCTCGTTTTGAGGTGGCTTCTGCCCGGTTAACATCCAGGACGCAGAGCAAGGATGTAAAGTGAAACGTATCCTTGCAAAAGCAAACACATCTCAGTACAAAATTAAATGTTTTTGTCCTTTAGGCATTCGCACGGACATGTTTTTACAAAAGTACCAGGCTGCTATTTTAGGATATCAATCTTCTCTTATCAATCTCCTCTTGACAGCTTAGAACTAGGGAAGATTTTTTAAAGGGCGATCTTGAAATGCAGGGGTAAAATTCGACGTAAGGGCTGAAGAGCTTCTCAGTGGGTTGAAGCTGCTTGAATTTGCCTTGCACGTCTTATACCCAAGGAGCAAAAGATGTCCCTAGGACGAGCTAGAAAAGTTCAGACTATATGGGGAGATGTTTCTAAGAGAGAAGGGTCCTTTTTTTTATGACTTTCTTTGCTTGTCCCAGTGCTACGCCCTGGTATGCCTGCAATCCCAGCCTGTCAGCCTAAAACATACATCGGGATAACCCCAACATTTCACTGGGATGATCATTTCTTAAGCTATATAAAAAGGAAAAAGCTGATTTTTCATGAGCAAAACGTCGATTTTTGCACACGCAAAACATCCAGCAGCAGCTCCGGAGCCTGTAAAGAGGGGGATATGTGCAACCGCACCCCCCTGGGCTCTGGTGTGAGTGAATCCAGCAGGATTAGCTCTAAAAGCAAATCTGATCCACAGGGATACGCTTTCCCATCCCTCCCACCTCCTCCAGGGATGCTGCAGACCTGGGGAGGCAAGCACGAGCCTGATTTCCAGAGGCACTGAGCATCTCTCCCATCGCTGGTACGGAGGTGGCAGCACCAGATACCAAAAATAATATGGGAAAGTCTCAGCTCACACGTTACCCACCTGGTTAGGAGGCTTTTTAGAAGCCCTCTTAAATATCCTTATTAAAATATCGTCAAGACAGCCGGGGGTTTTTGCCCTGCGTCTGAGTGGTGCGGTGCTGGTCTGCCGGAGGGGAGCTGACAGGTCATTACTGTGTGTCCTACAAATTCCCTGAGCCGATAAGGAAACTCCAACAATGTGATGGTTTATCAGTTTGTAGGTTGGAAAAGGAAATTTTTTCAATGGAGATAACGATTCTATTCCTTTGCGGCAAACGAGAGTTGTTGCTTGGGAATTGGGAACTCTGGCAGAAGCGGAGCCAGGACAAGGATGGGACCCATCGCTCACGCGGCAGCATCCGCACAAATTGTAAGGAGCCCAAAACTGCTCCTTTGAGAGGAAAAAAAAAAAAGCAGCAAAACGGCAGGAGAAACTAAATCTATTTGTAAACCCCAGGCAGAGTGGACACGAGGCAGCCGGCGCAGGAGTGCCGAGATGATAATGGAGCCTGATGGATAGTTCACAGGATTATTAGATACCCTCCAACTCAAATATGCTGAGGAGCCAATTATTTAACGCTAAGGACAGTGCAAACGGATGTTTAATAAGCTGAATCACTCCAGGACTGTAGGAACTCAAGGGACCAAACCCTCACCGGTCTAAATCAGAAAAGCCAGCGTTATAAAATACCCAGTGCTTCAGATACCCGCCGGTCCCCACGGTTATCGTTGTCTCTGCCAGGCTTGCAAGGGCTGGGGTGCACGGAGGGGGAAACCCAGCTGGATTTTGGAAGCAGACGGGCACAAGGGGGATGCACGGTCCAACACATCCAGGCTGGAGATTGCACTCAGCTCTGCGGCTGGTGGCCTTCCAGGCTGCCTTGTTTACAGGCGAGGGGGTTGCTGCTCCTAGGAAGATAGGCTGAGCTTATTTTCTAGCTGATTGCAGCGAGGCAGCAGGGAGGGAGTGGGAGGTGTGGGAGCCAGAGAAGAGTTTGGTCTCTGCTCCGGGGCCCTGATTAGTGCCTGGGTTGGAGTCAGCAGTGATCCCTGGGAACAAAGCATCGTTTCTCAGGATCTTCTGCTGGGAGGGGTGATGGGGAGAAGTGGGGTCTCAGCACACCATCCTCCCAGCTGGGCTGCTCTTGCAGCCAGAGGAGAGGGACAAGCTTCTGGTTCATCCTAGGGTGGGTGCCCAAACTAGATCAGATGGGCTAAAAGCATCCCCACTGAGGATAAAGGGCCTCTACGCTGTTAAATGTCTGAAGAAGAGTCCTTCCTGAAGCCCCTTCTCATTTCTGCCTGTGTCACCTTCGCCCTTCATTTAAGCTCATACCTATACTATAAGGAGCTGAGGTGAGTCTTAAAATCCACATCTCCCCATGATCCACCCACCACCAGCACCGTTCCTGCACATCCACGTAGTCCAGGCTACAGCACAGACCCAAGAACAGATATAAGGAAGGAATTTTTTTTTGATGTCATGGTGAAACACTGGGACCAGTTGCCCAGAGAGGTGGTGGATGCCCCATCCCTGGAAACATTCCAGGTCAGGTTGGATGGGGCTCTGAGCAACCTGGTGGGGTTGAAGATGTCCCTGCTCATTGCAGGGGGGATGGCCTAGATGACCTTGAAAGGTCCCTTCCAAACCCAAACCATTTGATGACTCTTTGATAACCCAGCACCAAGGTGCTCCTCAGCATCCACAACGCATGTGCAGCATGGGGCCCAGGGCAGATGTGGGGATTTGGTCCCTGACAGATAGCGACCCATGGGGACTCACAGCACAGCTCTGCTAAGGGCTTGGCCAATGCAAACCAGGCAGTTGCTCATGAGAAGACGGTGTAAAAAGACCG